ATTGGTTTATAAATAAAAATTAAAATGTATGCTCCCTCCGTCCCAAAATAATCTTCCTTCTTTCCCTTTTTGCCCGTCCCAAAATAATCTTCACTTTTCTTTCAAGGTAACAAAATGTGGCTAATAAAATTTCTCTCTTCTCATCAATTTCTAATCCCTCATTTTTCACTTTTCAATAGTTTTATTTAAATCCATGAAAGTCAAACGCAGAAAATCATTTTGTAATGGAGTATATTTAAACGTACATCAGAAGTTCTACAGAACAAGAGGCGACCTAACTATGCTAATTGGTCAAAGTATTGATGAGAATGTCAAGGAAAAAGATATAGTTTGATCGAATAGTAACTGTGTCTTTTGCTTTCGTACAGGTTTATTACTCTATCTGTCCTAAAAGTTAAAACACAAAAAAGAGTTAGTAACTGTGTCTTTTGCTTTGGGACGGGTTTATTACTCTATCTATCCTAAAACACAAAAAAGAGTCACGTTTCGGTTGCTTCCATAGTTTTTTGTCCCCAAAATCATTGATGAGAATATGTCAAGGAAAAAGATATAGTTTGACCGAATAGTAATTGTGTCTTTTGCTTTGGGACAGCTTTATTACTCTATCTATCCTAAAACACAAAAAAAGTGTTAGTAACTGTGTCTTTTGCTTTGGGACGGGTTTATTACTCTATTTATCCTAAAACACAAAAAAAGAGTCATGTTTCTGTTCCTTCTATAGTTTTTTGTCTCCAAAACAGTCCTATTTGATTAAAAAAACATTTCTTTTAGTTTGCCAAAAGAGAGTTAAAAACTAGATAAATATGATGAGTTTAGTTCAACCAACAAAAAATTACAAAAGTACATGTAAACTTTCTAGACTTTGTAAAGTTGTACCGTGCCAAAAATTTTAAATTTGCACATGTTTCCACCTTGTAGTTAATCAACTTTTACTTATACTACATGTGGATTTGGTAGGATCTGATTTTAATGCTTCAATGCTCTGCTACTTTGGGGCACTTCGCTGCTTTTTTAGATTACAACAGACGATTTGTTACAAGCTGCACAAATAGAAGAACTGGGTATGTTGGATAGGAAGGAGAGGAGCTTTGAAAAATGGAAGCAAGTAGCGGTGAATCGAGCAGCTATGGCTGTTGTTGCTGTGAATTTTCCTGATCTCAAGAACATCGAGTTTGTAATGCTCTCTACTTTAACTCATCCACTTCAGTAAGCAGTTCATGCTCTTTGGTATTAGTGCCACACATGCCCCCCCATTAAAATTTTAGGACCCAATTTTAACCGGGTAGAAATGTTAGAGTCTCAATTGGTGCAATTGAATCACGGAACAAAGTGATACATGGAGGACCAAAATACAGACTAGCACAGTCACAATTCGTACGATGAAAATGGCAATGAGAAGTCCATTCAAATTATTGTCTTAAATATTGATTTTTTCGTTTTCTAACCACTTTTTTGTTTTAGATCCATGTATTTTTTAAAATTCATTTCTGTAATTATTGCTGGCTTCTTTTTTTCTCCATCTCCCCTAAAAAACCTGATGTGAGAGTCTTGCCTTTTCACATTAACTGTCTTGAACTCATCGATCACTATTAGAGGAGTTAGGGATACCTAAACTAACCATTCCATTTTTATTTCACACCTTATGGCTCTTGAATTAAAATATGACTTGAAAAGGCTAGATAGGGACAACAACCCAATTGGATCCCACGAGAGTAGGGTCTGGGGAGGGTGTGTGTATGCAGAACTTGCCCCTACTCAAAAGTTGAGAGGTTGTTTCCAAGAGGCAACACTAGAGATTGACGGAGTTGGACAAAAAACAAAACACATTAAGCCATTTTTTCATTATGTCAAGTATCGCTAGGGTAGTTTCCCTAGAGTTCGTGTTTCATGTTTCGTGCTCTTTTTTTTTTTACATTACTCACAGCACGTGTCACTGTTTTTGGGGCCTTGGGGGTCCCCTTGGATGTAGCCAAGTAGGTTCTATATTCTTTACTGGTATAGCCATATTTGTATGGTCTGTACATCTTGCTCCCATACCCTACTTTTGAGTGAATTTACTGGGTATCCTTGTTTTTGTAGCTACTCTAGATCTTGTGTGTGTGTGTGTGCATATACTAATACTGATGATATTTTAATACTTGACATGAGAAGATCACCATTGCTCCACGAGCTGGCACGGAATTAGGCTATGTACGAATGAAAATGGATGATATCAAATTTAAGGAAGGAATGCTGAGGTCTATATCAATTGTGGAGTTTGTCTGTATGATTTACTTCCGTTTGATCACCAACATAAATCTCGCAATCATTCGCTTTTTTAAAATATTACTACTATTATGCAGCCGGCAAACCTTCATAGACCACATAACTGTTCAACTGGCACCACGCGCAGCTGATGAGCTCTGGTATGGAGAAGGCCATGTAAGAACATCTCTATCATTTATTTTGGACGCTGCACTATCTTGCTCCATATTACGTTAAGAGGTTATAAAGTGAAATGTGTTGTTAGATCACATAGCCTAAGCTCTTTTTGTGTCTCTGAATTGTTTTAGAAAATTGAAGAAAAATCTTAAGTACTTGAAAAGATTTTTGCATCTAACATACTTTACTATTCCAGCTGAGCACAATATGGGCTGAGAGTGCAAACAATGCACGGTCTGCCGCAAGGACTTGTGTTCTTGGCGGTCTTTCGGATAAAGATTATGGTTTGTCCAACTTCTGGGTTTCAGATAAAATAAATGCAAGTTTCTCTCTCTCTCTCTCTCTCTCTCTCGTTAAGATAGATTGAAAATGCAAAATTTTGGATTCCTTTCTGATTAAACGTTGAGGACAGAATCCGTCATAATAGTTGAATAGTGTGTTTCTAACAAATGTTTTTCAGGGAATTGATGAAGAGGCGTTACGGATCCTTAACATGTGTTATGGCCGAGCAAAAGAGGTATTTAGTACCATGAATCATCATAAGATCTTAAAAACCAGACAGTGCCTTGCTAACACAATAACCTCACTCATTGTCTTACAGATACTTCAGCAAAACAGAGAACTGATGGAGGCTGTCGTGGATCAACTGGTTCAGAAGAAAAACCTCACTAAGAAAGAGTTCTCTGAGCTGGTGGAGATGCATGGATGCCTAGAACCGACTCCTCCTGCCATTGTTGATTTAAGGTTAGCCAAGAAGTCGAAGTTCAAGCGGTTGTTAGCTTAATCCCAGGGAACAAACAAACAACCAAATAAAAAATATTAAAGTTTGATGTGTGCGTAGAAGGATGATGCTTCCTTGTTCGATTTCGTTGAAATGGTCGATCCCAATAGATGGTCTTTAGGAGTATTAGTTTTTTTTGGTGTGTTTTTGATAGATATGTATGTTTGATTGAATCATTTTATAGTTCATGTGGCTCAAAACATTGTTGATTTCCTAAGCTTCGATTCTTAAAAAAAAGGATGAGTCCCATCCCCAAGGCCTCCTCTAGACGCGGTTGGACAACCTCTGAGAGGAGGTAAATTGGACTTTAATCGTAAATTGGTGGCACGTAGTGGAGTCTGCATCTGGTGCTTGCAGAGACTATGTTTAGCACAGTTGCCTCCGAGTACAATTGTCCTTGGATCTATTTTCTTGATATTCTTGCCTTTAACAACTGCTTACCACAGGCTTGAACTTCCATTCTTAAGTTGATGAGCAAGCTGACTAAAGATACCGAAGCATTTCTTTTGGGACGGATAAAAAAATACCAAACACATTGAATGTTGTGTAATTCTGTCCCCCCTCCCATGAAAAAAAATCTTTGGAGCATACTACATGTACCCCATTTGTACACCAAAGGTATGCACAAACATTTTGATGGTTCACACTAACACAAAGTATTGGTGCGTTAACAAAAATTTACATTAACACAAAGTGTTGGTGCGTTAACAAAAATTGGCATTACACCAACACAAAATGTTGATGCATTCCTGCGGTGTACAAAATGGGATACAAATTCTTAGGGTACAAATAACATTATCCAAAATCTTTTCACATGTTGATTTTTTAGTTAATAGACTACAAGCTCTGAAAAAAATTTAGTTATAGACGTATTGTCAACTGATCATTGTTTAAGTTAATGTCCACCGTCATTGGACATTATTCAAATTAAATGTCAACAATCACTGGACATTGTTCCCTCCAGTAGACATTATTCAAATACTATTTCGAAAATAAAAAAAAGTTTAAGTACTACTCCGTACATTGAAAAATGACATACTTCCTCCGTCCAAGAATTATTTTTCTATTGCACGTTACGATGTTTGATTGAAGTTATTTTTAAATCATTTTATATGAAAAATAGTGTGAAATTAAAAAATAAAAATTACATACGAAGTATTAAAAATTTACATAAAAGATCTACAAAATTAGAAGTGACATGAGTACATTATTTTACTCCCTCCGTCCCAAATTATAATGCATGTTTACTATTTACAGGGTCAAACTTTATTTACTTTCTTTCTCTATTTTCGTTAGCAATTTGATAAAATAAAATATTATTGTCACTACTAGTTTTGTAGATCTTTTGATGTAGTTTTTTAATATGTAATTTTTATTTTTTAATTCTATACCATTTGTCATATAAAATAGTTTAAAAATAATTTCAGTCAAACATCGTAAACCGAAACAGGCGTTATAAATTGGGACGGAGGTAGTATTAAATACTCCATTCGTCTGGAAATGTTCTTCCCATTTGACTTTTTTCGATCTTCAAAATTGCATTTTGATCACTAATATCTTTATTTATACATGGATATATTTTATAAAAATTTGATATTTGAAAACTATATTTCAAAATGAATATATTCATATTAAAGTTATATTGTAATGCAATGTATTTTTTCCATATATCATAGTCAAAGTTTACAAACTTTGACTAAGAAAAGTTAAATAAGAAGAATATTTTCGGACGAGGGAATAAGTAACAAAAATAGACTGAGAAAGCGAATTAATTTTGTGAATACTGAATAAGAAGTATATTTTGGTACAAATTTCATTAAATCAAAACGCTAAAGATAAAATAAAAAAATTACAGTAAAATACAATCACTAAATTCAATAAAATACATCCTCAAAACAGCTGACCGGATTGACAGCCTCTCCACCCGCCGGGTCATCGAAAAATTGCCCGGAGAATCCATCGTCCGGCAACCACCGCGGCAGGAATCCCCACCTCTCGGACAAGTCAAGCACACCCAATTGGACCTTCGACTCATCGGGCGAGTCGAAGCAGGCCTCGTCTAAGCTGGGAAGCTCAAAGATCTCACCGAGATCGTCTGACGCCGGCGCCGATGGCGACGAGCACCCAGGGCGAAGCTCATCCATGGCAGCCGCCTTAGCTGCGGCGGCCTGGACGCTGGCGGGCGAGGCGGATGCGGGTCGCGGGAGGGATCCGACGAGGTGGGGGAAGTTGAGGGCGGCGGAGTCGCCCTTGAGAGCGAGCGCCGCCACGTCGTGAGCCCGAGCCGCCATCTCCGGCGTGGGATAAGTCCCGAGCCAGATCCGAGCCTTCTTCAGGGGCTGGCGAATCTCCGACACCCATTTACCCCAGCTGCGCATCCGAACTCCCCTGTACACCGGATGCCTGGTCCTATTCTTGCCGCCGCCGCCGCCGCCCTTCATTAATGATTTTTATAATTTATAATAAATGGCAATTGGATCACATGAGGGAATGATACATTCAGTGTATAGGGAGGGCCCTTATATTTATATGCATTGGTGATAATAATTGGTGGCAAAAGAAATGGCTACAAAGTGACAAATGGGGAAATGCCCGTTGAAGACGAGGTGTAACATGGGTAAAGAAAAAACAAAACAAAGGTTCCGTTTGGTACATGGAATTTAAACTATGGAATTGGAATTGGGGATTTCAATTCCAATTCTGGTGTTTGGTAGCACAAAAATTATGTGGATTTGGAATTGATAGTGCAAAAAATGAATTAGAATTGACAGAATTCAATTCTATGGAATTGAACCTCATGGAATTTCAATTCTAATTCCACCAATTCCTTATACCAAACGGACCCAAAAAGGAAATGAATGTTTCAACTTTCAACTTTCATTTTTTTAATAAAGCTAGTTCGTATTGATGAAGAAAATTATTGAGTTTTAATTTTGAGAAACTTACTTAAATAGTATCATATGTGTTTTTTTCCCAATGTGTTTTTTAGTCATTTTGCATTAGTCATTATTCAAGTAAATATTCACCATTACTGGACACTATGGACATTATTAAGTGTTATTTAAGGAATAAAATAGTTTAAGTTCTATTTAGAGAAATGACTTAAGTTTTAGTGTTATTTAGTGCAAATATTTCTTTTTTTAATAAAGCTGCCCACAACTCGGGTTTTTATAGCTCAGGACTGTAAATCAAGTAGGAAACCCTAAAACGAAAAGAAATGCCCAAAATAACAAAAGTGCAATTTTAATGGGCTAAAGAGTTGAATTTGGGGTCGAAGATGGACCTCGATGGGTCTTCGACAAATGGACTCCTGAGCAACTCGCTAAGAGCTTTCCGGAAAGGGGTAGCCCCGTTGTAATCAAACATGTGTAGCTAAATTTATGGCCCAAACAATGTGGCGTCCCAAAATACTTCAATTTCTTCTAATTAACTAGGTGCTCTGTAAATTTCATCTTTGTTGGGTGGTTATCCGATTTTGTAGAAGGAAAAGAAACAAGTCATTGTGTCTAGGTAATCCACCAAGACAGAATATTGAACAATGTCTATTTTTTTTTTTAAAGAATTTAATGGCTAATTTAATACTTGTGGCGAAATTCATTGATTGCAGGGCTTGCTTGCCACTTTGGTGTGCCTCTTGTTTATGCTCATCCTTTTTTGAAATAATAAGTCTGCCTTATTTATTGCAACTAATCCTATGTGGTTAGTGTCTTTTTACTAATTCTTGATTGTCCTCACTCATTAAATTCGGTAACTTATTAATCGTTTTGCTAAATTTATTATCCTTTCGTCGTAGTTTAAATTACTTTCAATTAATTTTATTAGAAAATTAGTATAAAATGAAAATGTATAATTTATATATTTAAAAATTACATAAAAAATCTATAAAATTAAAGGTAAAATGATTATATTATTTTATAAAGTGAGTAACAAAAATAGGTAAAGAAAGTGATTAATAATTGATCATGTGAATAGTAAATAAAGAACTTAAACTGTGACGGGGAGAGTAAAATACTATACCAAAGCCGGAGTATTAGGAAGTATAATTAAATTAGGATACTTCTTTCCTTTCCTACTTGTACTTTGATTACTCTTGTATTCCCTATATATAGGGTCATATCTCTCAATATTCAATAAGACAAGTTATTATCAAATTGTATCATGGTATCGGAGCTAAGGCTCTCAAAAACCTAGCCTCTCTTTTTTCCGACCGCCGCCCACCATGACAGCCCCGTCGGATCCTTTGGCGTCCTTACCCTCCGGAGTAAAACTTTTGCTTCGGAGTCTCCACAACTTAATCCCAGAAAAACTCACCGAAACAAATTATCCGGCATGGTCTCTCAATGTCCAGACAGCTCTTTCAGCTAATCTCCTCCTTGGATGGATTGATGGTCATGAAGCAGCCCCGACGCCAACTATCTCCAAAAACGATAAAACCGTCCATAATCCAGAGTATACCTCCTGGACCATCGTTGACACACAGATCCGCGCCTGCCTCCTAGCGGTCATCAGCCCCTCCGTTCACAAACATGCTCGCGGCTTCACCACATCTGCTGCCCTCTGGGATGCTTTGGCCGCACGGTACAACTCTGTGTCCACCGCTCATGTTTATCAGCTTCGGGACAAACTCCACACTCTTCGTAAAGGTACCAAAACTATGACACAATACCTTGATGATGTGGCAACTATTCTCTCGGATCTCGATGCCTTGAAAGAAGAGATCCCTGAACGTGATGTGGTGAATGCTGTTATTCGTGGTCTTCCCACCGAATACTCATCCTTTAAGCAAAACATTCGCATGAACAATACCAATATTTCGTTAAATCAGCTTTCTGGATGGCTGATCTCCGAAGAAATAAAC